AGAATTTACAAAACTAAATCAAATGAAAATAAAAATTTAAATAATTACTTAATAATATTTAAAAAAATATATAATAAACCAAACAAACCATGATTTTTGAGGATGAGGGCATCACACAAACTGTCCATGATTTCTTCCCGTTAAAAGTTTATAATTGACTTCTCTGACCTGATCAGAACAGACCTGTGACCCATTTTCAGATCACGATATGCATAGAACAGTCATCCTCCATTACACTCTTAGAAACAACGATTGCACTTTGTAGTCATTCAATTTGTTCTTGCCACAAGAGTAACCCAAAATATCCTGTTGGCTTTTTAAGGTGAGTTTTCATCATCCCGCTAGACATTACTTGAAACCAACAGAATAATTTCTATTATAGGTGAATATTAAATGTTTAATGACATTACTCATTTATTTGACAAATGTGCTGGAGAGACAGGGATGGAGACGGCAGCGTGCAACACGAGTCAAAAGACGTATTGCTCATTCCGACGAGCTGCAGAGATAAATGTGCGGAGAGCAAGTTCAATAAAGTCTTCTCTGTCAGTGCCTTTGATTGCTGAGTCTCTCTGATCTTGCATTCGATGAGCGCAGAGATCGCCTAATGCCACACTTTAATACATTTCCACACTTTGTCGAAGTCAACAGACTGATGCATGAGCGCCTGATTTGATGATACGGATCAGGAGCCTTTCGATCTGTGATTGTCACACAATGAAATAAACTACAAAGTCAAATACCTGAGAATGAGAGCTTTCTTGTGATATATGACTTGACTGTTTTGTGAAAAATAATTTTTAAAAAAAGCACTTAGGAAAAATTCTTTGCAATCATTAGGCGGAAATTCGTGTGTGGGACAAATACATTTCTAAGCTTAATTTTACTACTTTATCTACCATAAAGGTTATGGTGTTCTTTGTAAAGATGAGACTCTAAGCTTTCAAACGATACCATATATGGGCTGATACCATATAAGCAAGGCTTTGAAATGAAGCATAAACATTTGGTGGTTTTGGACCCGAATATTTATTAATAAAATAAATTATGTAATGGAAATGACATTTGCTGGTTCAGAAAATATATAGAGAGAGAATTCATATATGTATTTATTTATTTATGTATTTATTTATATATTCTTTTATTTATTTATTTTTTACAGAATATTTATTAATAAAAAAATGATGCGATGGAAATGACATTTGTTGGTTCAGAAAAATGACGGAATTTCTAAAGTCATGTGTGTATATATATATATATATATATATATATATACAGTGGGTACGGAAAGTATTCAGACCCCCTTCAATTTTTCACTCTTTGTTATATTGCAGCCATTTGCTAAAATCATTTAAGTTAATTTTTTTTCCTCATTAATGTACACACAGCACCCCACATTGACAGAAAAACACAGAATCGTTGACACTTGAAATCGCATCATATGACCCCTTTAATTTAAAAAAACGATGTGATGGAAATGACGTTTGCTGGTTCAGAAAAATCAGTTTGCAGTTAATCAGTTGGCCATGCAAAAGTGTAAGAATATTATTTGCGTGCATTTAGGATGTATAAAACAGCCTTAACGAGACACATTTTATTCTTAAAATGCCATTACCGCACCAGCAGGACAAAATGTTGTAAGATGTGGCGTCTGGAGGCCTGGTGAGGATGCAGAAATCACATATGTGACCCTGGACCACAAAACCAGTCATAAGGGTCAAATTTAGGTTTATACATCGTCTGAAAGCTGAATAAATAAGCTTTCCATTGATGTATGGTTTGTTATGTTAGGACAATATTTGGCCGAGATACAACTATTTGAAAATCTGGAATCTGAGGGTGCAAAAAAAAATCAAAA